AGAAGTTATAGTCATTCGGTTGCCCCACCAACTTGTTGTCATGGTTAAAAGATTATTTCACAGGAAGGACTTAAAAGACGAAAGCAAACGTCACCAATTCAAAACCGTTAGTGAATAATTCTGGAGTACTTCAGGGTGCTGTGCTCTCTCCCTACCTATTTTCGACTTTCATCAGTGACTTACCCTCAATCCTNGTTCGTATCTCAAACCAAAGGGACAATCATTTTTTGACAATTTGTTGCAAGTGCAATGATGCCTTGAATGCATTTTTAGTCTTTCCCGATCCGAATACCCCCTGGATCCCTCAGTCATCAATTCTTTACCCATCACCAGAACATACCACGAAATACCTAGGAATCAACATAGATAGTAATCTACGGTGGTCTTCTCACGTGCTTGCTTGTGTTGGTAGACTGCGTCGCCTATCTTTTCAAATACGCAAGCTACGAACAATTTCGCGTCAGGCATGAAACTGTGTTCCTTTTTTTAATAATGCATTTTTCCTATCATACTTTGTTTTTTGCCGTTATTTTCCGTGGTCTACTTAGAAAGGACTTCATTACCATACGTCACGGTTTAGTAACTATCAATTGTGTTTCTCTTATTCCTTTAAACATTCTGATCACAAAATTGTGTAATTTACATATCACTTCATGTGAGAATTTCGCTCATAAGATACTCAATGACCCCAGTCATTCACTTATTCCCGATTTGTCTGCTTGCCATTCCTACGCTACAACTCTAATCTAATTTTCGCTACTTACCCTCCCGCATAAACATTTNATGTGTTCGTATCTCAAACCAATGGGACAATCATTTTTTGCAAGTGCAATGATGCCTTGAATGCATTTTTAGTCTTTCCCGATCCGAATACCCCCTAGATCCCTCAGTCATCAATTCTTTACCCATCACCAGAACAAATACCACGAAATACCCAGGAATCAACATGGATAGCAATCTACGGTGGTCTTCTCATGTGCTTGCTTGTGTTGGTAGACTGCGTCGCTTATCTTTTCAAATACACAAGCTACAAACAATTTCGCATCAGGCATGAAACTGTGTTCCTTTGTTTATTAATGCATTTCTCCTATCATACTTTGTTTTTCGCCCGTTATTTTCCCTGATCTACTTAGAAAGGACTTCATTACCATACGTCACGGTTTAGTAATTATCAACTGTGTTTCTCTTATTCCTTTAAACATCCTGATCACAAAATTGTGCAATTTACATATCACTTCATGTGAGAATTTCGCTCATAAGATACTCAATGACCCCAGTCATCTGCTTATTCCCGATTTGTCTCCTTGCCATTCCTACGCTACAACTCTAATCTAATTTTCGATACTTACCCTCCCGCATAAACATTTATCGCAACTCAACGATTCCCTATCTGGCTCGTATTCTCACTGACACGGTGAGGATCCGTAACGAACTAATTTTAAACTTACAAAGATGAACACCTATTTCAGTTTTATCATTGTTGTATATTATCTTCATTTCATTTTTTTATCCCCCTGTAGTGGTGAACACATTTTTGACAGAACTGTGGGCACAGTCGCCAGCATCAGTCATCTATAATACAATATAATACAAAATTCAAATGCGGTTCGACAATCAGTGACAGATGTTTATTCCTTTTCAACGAGAAACAGAATAGATTTTCAAAAAAACAAAAAAAATTATAAACAGGAAGATCAAAATGTATTAGACAAAGATACGGCACGAGGGTGGTTTGGATGTCCACTGGGACCTCGTAGCACAACAGACGCGAGACTTATGGGCGTAGGGGGAGGGGGGGAGTGAAAGTGAGAGAGCGAGCGAGCGAGCAGGGAACCAACAGATAGTCAAATAACCGGAAAAAGATAGAATTATGAAAAAAAAAAAAGAAAAAAACGCCGGGGCGAGTTCCACCCAGCAGAGCACTTTATCAAAAAACGACGATTTCGATATCACTACCCAAACAGGAACGGAATGCGTCGATTCGACATTCACAGGGATTCGGGAAGCATACGAGGTGCAACAGCAACAGTTACATTACTCATAGGAACTGGCTTCAAAATCAAATCAGAATATATAAAAAAATGAATGAGAAAACGAATCATTCGCTTGCTATGTCATAGACGATGGCGACAAGAACAATACATTTAACGATGGACGAGGGAGAGGGGAAACTGAGGTACAGAGAGCACGAATGATTGCAGAAGAACGCATGGAATTTCTTCAATAAAGAGTTCTCTCAAAACGAGTGAAGGAGAACAACAAAGAAGGGGTATACAAGAAAGTCAGAGAAACCACGATGCCCTTGAGAACCGTTAGCGAAAAGTTCCTATTCCACAGTGACAGATTTCGCCAAATTCCTGGGACAGTCAACCTGAAGAAAGAGAAATCATGACACAGAAATAAGTTGAACAAAACGATATAAACAGGGTGGGTTATAAGATGTATCAAGATAAGATTGATACATTGGACTTAGGTAACTGTCAGATCTCTTAGTTCACCGATCTCGGCTCTATCATTTACTGACTCTTACGTGCTGCCGAAAAAGCTGAGGCATGTATCAGCGGTCACAATCAGACAAACTGTTCCACGGGCGGGATAAACCAGGATAAGCCTGCAACTTCCGATGAGACAGCATACAATATATTCTGTCTAATTCGAAGGTTCCGATGGAAACCCGGTCAACTAACTGGGATGCATGAAATCCCGGATGGTATCCATATTTATTAAGGTAAAAACATACAAACATCCTGTCCCGTTTCAATCCGCACCTGATTGTGCAAATACAAGGGGATAAGCTGTACGAATTAGGTGACGTCCCTGGCAGCAAACTTCAATGAAACGACATGATGCTAGATTATCGCCTCCAGTGAGTCAACCGCGACAAAGCAAGTGACGACATACGAAATCAAACTTTATCAAATCCAAGTGGCAATTGCGCATGTGGATGATGTATAAGTTGACAATCATTTTACAACTTAGGAAACTGTTATTCCTCTTCTGGTCTTTTGCTCTGAGTCATTGACTGTAAAAATTGCCTTGAGAAAGGTTACTCACGGTAACCGAAACGTCGGTGAATATAATTTTATACCGACTTCGCGGTGTTAGTAACATTATAACATTCACAATTATTACTCTCATTTTGTTCTTCGAGCTGGCTATGAATCACTAAAAATCGGGCTTATTCACCAGTTTGGATCATTCACAATGTGGGACTTCGTGGACAAGATTGCATACACATATCAAAGATGCAAATGAGAAACGGCCTGAACAGCTGCCCGGTGACCGAGCGAGAAGTATGTTTGCGTTCTACCTGTGAGGTCCTGGGTTCGAGCCCCAGTTGGGTCGATGAATTCGTGCATTGCTGATGAGACCCGAACAAGTCAAAACAGCTGTTTATTGCCTCCCAGTTTTTCAACTCCCACCTCACTTACATGATGAATTCATCATCAAATCGAAGATCATACCAGTCGATTGCACTCATCAAAACTGATAGATATCGAATTCATGTCAGTGAAGAACTCGGGATGAAGTGAACATAATTGGCAACAGTTATTGTTTTGATCATTAAAATAGTATTATCCGTGGTCACAACACAACACAAAACATGAAAACTGTGTCAGAATGATGTAAACGGTAGAAACAAAAAGGAACCTTCATCAACCATGTCCCGCAGAAACAATGCACGGGATGCATGGAAGCAAAACTAACATTTAAAGCATGACGCGCATGTGCGAGGAGAACGAGCTGAATGTCAGGATACCCAGTTTACGTCCTGTGGCAAATGAAACCTCGCGCAGCGATGCGTTGGTTCTCTTAGTGAACTCATTAGTGAGTGACACGGTTCACGTTACTGGTTCACATTAAATATAAGAAACACAGTGAACACGAGTAGGTTGTAAAGACAAACAAGAAGTTACATTGGGAACAACGAATGCTTCCTTGGTTATGAACTGTCTGACGGTCTAACCGATACAGCGCTCATTCGCACACAGAATGCAATGGTCACCTGAGGCACGAGAGTACGTTTTACCAGCACATTGTCGTCACAGATGTAAAACAGATGAGCAATCACAAGTAACGTTATCGAAACTAGTGCATTCGAGTGGAAAACTAACAGCACACAGGTTGCTCGTATCTATTGAATGAAACTGTTTTATTGCACCAGACACTGAGTTCAGTCCAAACAATGGACAGAACAGATCGTGGTGCAAGCACAACGGTTTGTACACAAAGTGTGGTAAAGAGAACTATCTATACAGCGAGAAATCAAGTAGTGCTTTCATGTTCATTTGCCTCGTAATTGTATCACGATTTGACGAAACGACGAGATGCGTAACAGTTGCACCACTGAATCCAATTAAAAATTATATCCTTGAGGATAAAGAAATGAGGAAATTCGCCATCAGTCATCTCTACCCCCCCTTCCCGCGAAAAAACTAAAGATGGATAGATAAGGCGGACGGTCTTGTCAAGTTCGTCATATTCCGTTTGGTCCTCACGAGCTTTCTGTCTTCANAGCAGCAATCATTTTCAAAACTAGACAAAAATTCATCGAAGACCCAGCAAATGAAAAGAATTTCATACGATTTAGGTTAACTGAGCGCATAGTACTCGTTGAGTGACTTTATCACTTGTCATCTTCGTCCTCCTCCGTGAACACATGAGACAGTAGTAAAGAAAACAGTGGTCAAACCCACATAACTGATGATAAACAGATCCAACACGAGTCGTTAAGCTTCCAAATTCGAACGCTAATGAAAGCGTGACTGATCTTTAAGTGTGCACAGGTGTCACGATATGATACATATAATGTGAATAATGAGGAGGGGTTCACATGTGACGTTGAAAAATCTAATTCAATTGTGACTACTTCGCGTATAATTATTCGATGAACACAAGGATGACACTACAATTAACCTTATATCTGGTTCAAGGATCTTATCTCGATCGAGAAAATTTATTGCTGGAATCGAGTCCCCTTCGAAAAGAATATTATTTGATTACAGTACAACACCATCGGCTAAGTGGTACGGGCTGCCAACTTATCACCCCATAGGATGTGCGTGCTCGAATCTAACCACCACCAGCAGCAGCAGCCCTTTGATTGAACGCTTTCCCGTTCCTGAAAATTGTATCATTTTATACTCGATTAGGCAGAGTTAAGTAAAACAAAAGTAAGAAAGAAGCATCATGCATTTTAATTTCAGCTATTCATGTACATAGTTGACATGAATGGGAATGCAACATGAACAAAGTGATCTTCCGGTCATTGTAAATCGAGGACAAAACTATCGTTTCTAAAAATGATAAACAAGACTATGTATTCATAAACACCGGTAGTGCAATTATCTGTTGACATGATACCCGCATTTCATGTGCTTAATAGTACAACTGGAAAAAGCAACCTACCAAAAGATGAGCAACAACTTGGCTACTGAAGTCAATATCAGTAGCATAAAAACAGTTTGACAAATTGTGAACTCACATCTAGACCCCTTAGCACGGCAATATGGAACGCCAGTAACTGGAGCGGTATCACAGCCAGAATGCTTTGTAGACAGTCCACCGTATTGGGAATAGCAATAGTGGTATTTTTACAGTTAAAAATGTCCTCGTCACCTTCGGTGCAGATCAAAATCGGATTACCCTGAATCAGATCGGGTCACAACGGAGAGGTTATTAGAGGAATAAAGGAAGCATATGAATTGTGTTAAGGAAGACAGATAAAGGAACCTGTTCAATGGGTAATATATAGACAGCTTACTTTGGGTAATCAGTGAAGTTTCACGGCGCTACTCGGTATGCACACTTCTCTCAAATAACGGGCGTTAATTTGGTATTCATGCCAGTTCGCACTGTCATGCACTGACTTCCGAGGTTCATCAGAATGCGGACATCCCAACAGGCAAGGTCGACTGTGATTGCTTTTCGCAAAAGTTTCCCAAACGGTTTATTTTTGCTTTGACAACTGGAGGCATATCGCATCCAGGAGACACCGTACCTTGAATGAGTTATGGGTTGATAATGAATTTTCCCTGAAGGCGCTCGGGAATAGTTGGCCAATTCTGGCTCTGTTTTTGATAAGAGAGTTCCTAGATGGTGAATGTTTGGATTAGCCCATTCGGTTTTCACAGGCACCAGGCACTGTTGATGATGTTCGATGTGGGTTTCAATCCTTGGGAGATCGGTAATTCCCCACTGTTTGTATGCATTTTAATGCGATGGAAATGTTTTTGATAACCAACAAATAGCACCGGACAGCTGTTTCGTCCTATCTGAGACTCGTCAGCAGTGCGTACTTTTTGTGTCCCTATCAGGGCTCGAAGCTTGATACTCTAAACTGATTGAGCCATTCAAACAAGGGGTGATAACCGTCGACCGTGTAATTCAAAGGTAAGGGTTTGAAGTCCTAACCCGAAGAATCGCGGTTCGAGTCCTGACAGGGGCATAAAAATACGCACCGCTGACGAGTTCCAAACAAGACGAAACAGCTGTCCAGTGCTCTTTGTTGGTTATCACAAATATTTTCATCGCATTAAGAGACAGTTTCTTCCTTTGCGTTTCCTGCAAACCAGTAAGGGTTTTTGGGGCTTGTGAGCAACAGCTTGCGGTGGAGAAAAGTCCAGACTAACGCCGTTGGATCAGGCAGATGACCTCTGCCTAGTTCTGCAGGTAATGACATTCACTAAGGTCTGAAGATCTGTTACTAGTATCTGTTTTTAGCCATCATACACGGCAATATTTTGAGGGGTCACCGGTGGTTGATGTTTTCAACTAGTAGAAGCCAATAAGTGAGAGCTGAGCGTCAAGTGAGGACAAATGGATGTGCTACCCGTCGTGAAACACTCCGTACTGCTTGAATTTCAATTTGGTTGCATAACACGGCCAAAACTGTGTTGCGTGCGACCCAGAAGAGATTCCTCTTTTGTTTACGACTGCACGTCCCCAGCTGTAACGTGACCGGAACATTTGTGATATTCCGTCATATTGTCTACTCGCACTCAGCTCAGCTCTGACGTTCTTTATTGAAACATGGTTCGCGATATACATCAGCTCTCTCTCTCTCTTCCAACGCGCGGATTCGACTCACTGTACAGCTCTTTTGGACCGTGGATCCGAGAATGTAACAATGCAATAAAGATACCTACGAGAGAAATCAGCTCCTTCATTACAAAACGTCAGTCTGATGAACCGACGGAGGATGAAACACGCATTTGCAACGATCTGCTGTCGAGGTGTGGACGAGTAGAGAAAAGCATCGAAACTAAATGGGAACGGTGTGGCTGAAACAAGTAACAGTCAAGTTATCTGTTATTAAAGTTGGATGGTTTTGGTAGGACATCAAATCTAAAGAGCGACACACACACGCACCCGACAATAACAGCGATTCAAACCGCACGAAATTGAAAACTAAGGCTTATTCACGTTTGTGTCATCTGCCATTGCCAACGGGTAGTGGATTAGTCTTTTCGGACTAAACGATGAAGTCAAAACGACAGCGAGGTGAATTGCCAGATCATGTCAATGGTTAAGAACCACGGCTCTCGATCAGATTATTGCGTAAAACGGGGACGTGATCAGCGGAATTCGCCATAAAATAAGCTACACAATTCAGTCATGACAATTGGGTTGATTAAGGTCACCTTAAAATTCAGTAAAAAGAATTCAAACCATTATCCGCAACTCTTCCGGTTGCCATTCAAGAGTTTTGTTGTCATGGAAAATTAGACATGACCGAACAACACTTTTGTTACTTCTAAAACTAGTTATTACTAAATTTCTAGGTCTCAACATTGTCAAGAGTACGATGAGAATTGAATTAGGTTACCCAATAAAGCGAACACACAGCAGAAATAAAGGCCACGTGGCCTGTGTGTATCACACAATGACGCACACTTGCATGAAAACAGGTGAATCGCGGAATGTCGTGTGTCAGGGATGGAAATAACACACTTCAACATTGACAGGGATTATAATCGCGTCGATTTGCGATCTGCTTTTACTTACTGGGTACGTGAAGGAGCAGTGGGTGGGGCATTCAAAATGCGACGATATCACGAAACAGTAGTCAGGCTATGACACGAAGATTATACTATCAATGAAACTGGTAACATAAAATCCTCTCGCAACATCAGTTTGTGGATTTGTTCAACTACATGCCAACACACACACACAGTTCTCTATTTGTGATTACCGAAACGTGTGCTGTTTTGTAAACTATAGTTCTTTACTGATATTGGCCTTCAGGCAATATGACAAGTGGTTCGGAGAGCTCAGATCTGGGATAGCGGGTCAACTGTTTCTGATGAACAGAACTCTTCAATGTGCGACTTTGAGTGAATTGCGTGCGGTTCGCGGTGTGCACAAGCGGAGTAGCAATTCCACAGATACAGGAATACGTCGGCTCGAAATACGCGGACCACTGCTGGACAGTGGTCTCTTCGGTTGAACGAGTACAAATGAATGTTACATTTAATACGGGGAGGGGAGAGGCAGTTTGTCTTTAATGTTTATGAATACAATTGGTCGCAGTGAGGAATGGTGCCCTTAGGGTTTTTCTTTTGTCCATTCAGCAACTGTTGCACGTAAAGATGTTTTCTATGGGCGACCGATTTGGAGTGGGGCTAGTTTTTATTACATGGTGGAGTTCGTTTGATGTTACAGTATGGATCAAACCAATTGAAACTGTGTGGCTAACTAATTCGTGATGTCTAGTGGCCAACAGGAACACACTGTCGGCACTGATAATCAAGATTCAGGGTCGAAACGTTGTCACCAACGCCTTTGTGTTTTGGTTTTCATTCGCTGTGGCTAAGACAAGCTAATTTCCTCAATAATCATGAGCACGAGTTTTTCAGTGAGATCCGTTCGATCCATGGATCTCGTGTGATTTTTGATGCCTCTGTTTCCAAATGAGCTAGTTCTCGATTCCTTTTGATTGGCTGCTTCCCACTTCGTGAAAATTGTATCATTGTGCATGAAGATTTCTCAAAATAAACAATCTAAAGCCCAGTTTAATCAGGTGTTTACTGCAACGACACACAAAGCATTACAGATTATAAGCAAACTACCATGTATCTTGTATCCGTCACTGGTTAATATGGCTTCTGAAGGGGGAATGGTTAGAGCAAAACTACTAACTTGGCGAAAGAATTCATCCCCAGGCGCAAGCAACATGCATCCTCGGACGCTGATCTCACTAGTCAATGATATATCTGGACCTGTTCTTTACCAAAGCATGTTCAACAAGACGGTAATTGCGCAGTTAATAAAGGAAGGAGTGGTTGCATCCATTTACAAAGGGGGCTCTCGCAGTGATCCCGCCAACTACCAAGCAAGTTGGACTATTTAAACGTGCTTTCGGGCAGTTCAAAAAAGTACTATTTCCACGCTTACTATCAGCATTCATTCGAACAAACACGAAGTTTAAGTATGGAATTCATGGCTTAACCGCCACAAAAAGGCTCTAGAACGTCCACAAAGGTTAATAGAAGTTATGTATAACAAGACATACTCCGAAAGACGGTAAATATTGAGACTTTACTCATCTCAATATCGCGGACTTCTGGGGGACCCAATCGTGACATACCACAAACTGCATCAACCCAACCACCCCTGTCGTTCTGTGCTGACTTTATCTTACCTCAGGGGACATCTACTAAAGTTGAGGACCCAGACCCAGCCACCTTGATTGCCGGCGTTACTCGTTTGCAGTCAGGGTGCGCGGTGTATGGAATTCTTTTCCATCCCAGGTAGTGTGTGCTCCTACAGTTGAGCAATTCAAATCGTAACTTGATAAAGCATTAGAACACTCAGTATTTTGACATCCGTGAGTGATCATACAAATTGTTATTATTTTCTCTTTGTAAAATTATCCAAAAGGTTCTGTAAAAATCCTATGCGGCGCGATAAGCTTTAGCTTTGTTAAATCGTCCATAATAAAACTTTGAACCACTTTGGTGACTCCAATGCGAAAATATCCATGCTGCCAGTGTGGTCTCGCAGCTCATCCGGTAGAGAGTACAAAAGCATACGCGGTGCCCACGCAGGGGTTCCGAATCTTGTCCAATTCAAATGTACGGCTTTTGTTTTCAATTAGCTATGGAAAAAATATAGCGTGAACAAACAACTCACCTGTAGAGTTCATTCGTATTCGTAGTCTCAGGAATATCTGTCACAACAGACAGCGTACGTACCTAGTGGTAAATCTGGCAGGCCGCTATAAGTTGGGCTGGTAAATCAAAACTAATACTTGGGTGAATAGGTAGTAGTATCCTTGCGTACTACTGTTATCATTCCACAAGACAGTACTGGTCGAGGATAGTCGTTTATTGAGGATTACAGATGGGAGGTCAGTAATTTTGCATGCATAACACAAAAACCGAATCAGAAACGTGTCATAGTAATTCTTTCCGAAACACACAGGGTAATGTACAGAGCAGTCAGTAGTTATTCATCCAAACGTATCACTTGGTCCTTGATAATCTTGTTATATTTTTGATCATCGAAAGTTACCTACTACTCACAAATGAGTAGTATCTCACAACACTACCAGTGGTGAGGTCCCGGATTCGATTTCCAGTTGGGCATCGATGGATTCGTGCACCGCTGTTGAAGAGAGCCAACCAGATCGAAACCGCTGTACAGTAAGTAGTGCGTCCCAGCTTTTTAGTTCACGTCTTGTTTACACAATGAATTCATCACTTAATCAAATATGAACGGTTAAAAGATGAAGTCCGCGTAGACAGTGTGAAAAACCGTTGCTTCACTTACAACAAATATTAAAACCGGATAACAGCAGTCAAGCAAGTGACTGAGAGCGTTTAACCCGTTGTATGTATATGGGTAAAATCATAGGAAAAAATCAATATGGTGGATTGTAACGAAAAACAAGGTATAGATGGATTGCATTTATGAAAAAGCGAAGACGTTGTTGACCTAATGTTTGTATACTTTTTTGTGTGGATGTTCTGAAAGCTGATAGAGAACAAAATCGGGGATCCATGTGGTTCAATACAACTGACCTCACGGTTAGTGAACAGTGCACACACACCGACAGGTCTCGTTCACTGAGAAACAAGACCCATTGATATCAAAACTAGCTTCAGGGACAATCGGTGGCACGACAACTGATTTCGTGACACAATTCGAGTAGTGAGACTGGGATGTTGTTGTAGATTGAAAACATGCACCTATTCTGTGTGTTTGTGTGAGCAGAAGGATCAAGTAAGATGGATTGGTTCACTTACCCGTCGGGCGCAGACTTCATGCAATGCGTTTAACGATTTCTGAAAACGGGAACCAGAAGGCACGGATAAGCCAAATGATAGAAAAAACTATTTCCATGAGTTTTATCAGTATTAGAAGATTAGTTAACTGCAACGTATGTGAGACTAGGTAAGTCACCCCGGTAGGCCCATTAATTCTATCTCACCCTTGCTGAAATCTGCCTTTGATTCTGTCCACGGCACCACATACGTTGTTGTTTTTCCTCCTCGAACAAGTTGCGAACTACGTTCGAAGCATGAAGGTTTCGCATGCATAAAGCCAAAGCCTAGACTGAGCTGATGATACGTTTTCAATCCGAACTGTACAACTGGGCTGAGTACTCGTCTTCACATTTTGTTTCAGCGCTGCCGAGGATATAAATTCGCAAGTGGCCTAAGCCGCGTGCGAAGTACTGACGCGCTTCGAAGTATTGATTGGCCCTAGACAGAACCTATTCTTGAACAGATTACAAAACGCACTAGGCATACAGGTAGCAGCAGCCTAGGAGAGAATTAAACCCTTGTGTGTGAACTTCAAGGACGGTTTGGTACAGCGCACACTGTGTTTGCTGAGCTACGAGGCTACACCGCCAACGCAGTATTTTTTCCCATCTGGACCACCCAATCAACTGGCAAAGTTCGACAAAATGCATTAAGAAGTATGTAAGCCCTCAACAGTTTAACAGACAATGACGAGAGCATGCGGAGGATATGGTAGTGCAAATAGGAGAGGCCAGGGTGATTGGAAGCTCTTACATAGGGTTGAACAATAGTGCGTATTATTAACTTTGAAAATACTGTTGCACGTTTGGATTGGCGACGCCTCACTGAGGAGAATAAAAACAGAATTACAAATATTGCCACCAAGCAGTTAAATCTATTCTAGCGGAAGAATAAAGAAATAGCACATTTTATTTATCACACACTAGTGAGCGATGAACATCAGCAGAAGGGATTGACCGTGTACTCACAATGATCTACTGTTCGTTCACCCATAATAATAACCGGCAACCTAAGCCTGGGGGGCTTGGAATGGTGAAACACATAACGCTCCAACTAGATAAACGCTGCATTAGGCCGGGTGAAGGCTCAGTTGTCTAGCACAAAACGAGTCAGTGAATTTTTTTTGGATACCTCGAGATGTCGGAATGATGATATCCATTCGCCTGTGTTCGATGCTCCAAGTTGATTTATTTTTTCTTGTGTGTGTGTGGTGCAGATACACGGCTATTATAAAAACTGACCGTGTTCGAATATCATTGTCTAAACAGACGAAAAGTGATGACATCAGACACAAGAATAAAGTGATTGGTAACCATAGCCGAACTTGACCATGACTGGTTAGGATCAATGGAACATGAACTACACATTCTACTCCAGACACATTACGGTATACGACAGACAATGACCGGAATGGAGTCAAAGTTAATCAGTGAATGACCTAGAGTAAAGGTATGAGAAACTTGACTGATGAACTTTATTATGTAGGTCGCTCGTGACATTTCTCGATTTGTGTCTTCCTCGATGGTTAGCAAGGAGTAGATGATTTCGCTGAATGTCGTTAACAACGGTTCTACTTACTGCTCGAAAACAACGGATTCGGTTCACATATTTCATCTATGATTACGTGATTCCACTTAATCATTATCATTGGTTGACGAGATAGGTTGCATAATCTCACAGAAACCAGGGCCAGAGCACAGTAGTTCAAGCAAGACTATTGGCTAAAGATGCCACCAAAAGCCTCAGTATCGTCGGCGGTGGGTGTCTAGGGTTGCGTTTGGTCACCCTTCCCTTGCACCTCGCGAAATGCCCCCATACGATCAAGCGTCTCCAATAGCCTCTACTGAGGAAGCCGTACTGACTGCCTTCTTTTGACCAAAGTGAGACGACAAAAAGCCAACATCCGGGGCTGTAACCGCGTTGGTGGACCATTGGTAGGTTACCTAGGTGAGTTGACCAAAAGCCCTGATTCCAAACCAACCATGAGGAGGCGTACGAACCACACACACTACTTCCTGGCTGCGGCAGTGGTCACCATAGACGTTTGACCCCGACCAAAGGGCGTATAATCCGATGAATTGGACACCGGCCCCCAATGGATTGCGGTTTCCACAGATCGCCTCACTACCTTGCGCGTCAGGCTTGGGCTAACCGAAGGCTATACATATATTAGCTAAAGGTGGATGGCACGTAAACGATCATTACAGGGTTTCATATCAGTTTACTAGTTTGTTGCGTAAACACTAGGAAGAGGCTTTTACAAAAGCAGTTGTTAGGGAAAACTTCACAACTTCAATTCCGGATTCACGGTTTTTACCGGTTACCCTGTAAATTTGTGGTCCGATGGGTAGGTAAAATCAATCGAAAGTAATTCGTCTCATTCGAACAATGCAACCCTGTTCCTCTCCAGTCTATCTTTGTTAACTAGAGGAGGTCCACTACTTTCAGATCAAGAATGTGTGGGAACGTTAGCCCGACAAATGTGTGGAGACCGGTGGAGGAAGAAGTGAGCAGGTCGAAACCGGTAGAGCACAGATTTCTCAGTTGAGAAAATCACAATGGATAAGGAGGAAGAATATCTGTGAGGGAAAGAAGAGGAAAACTCTTGCATACACTCTCGAACCAAGTAGCAAGTGCGACGGAGTTGTACCGGATTTAGTGTCTGGATTGGAATACCAAAAAGCCCCCGAGATAAGTATCCAAGATGGTGTGAGTTCTACAACCAAGAGAGGATCAGAAGAGGGCCAGTGATTTAGTGGGTGAAGGACTACGTTATGTGAGGTGAGAAATAGGAAAGAGTAACCTTCAGAGATGAAAAACTTTGGCCTTGGACGACTCGGATGAGTTGGTGTAGGGCTGGTAGGAAATCAAGGAAGAACCAACGATATGTGTGGTACTCACAATTATCATAGTCGTTGAAAGTAGATGTTTTACCCCTGTGATACTCATTCTAGGCAAATATAGCTTCGATAACGTTTGTTCAAAATTGAGGAATTTAGTTTTTGTCGAGATATAAACATCATCGAAGTTGTTTCATTCCTAATTTCTGGATTGCTTACTGGTTTAGTTGGCTCTATTGCGGACCAGTTACCCTCGGATGGGGTGATCGCTGATGACTGAACATAGAAGATTATTCGAGAACATTTAGGCTAGACTAGACAGTTGGTAGTTGCTATATGTTGTCACACCATTCGGTTAGAATGTGTTCAAAACTACTACCAGTGGCAAATGACATTGTGATGATCGGACAAAACAAAACACTTGGTTGAGTGTTTTGCTTCCGGGCACGAAAGGTCTATTGATCTTGTTGCGTACCAAGTTGTCGAGATGGAACCGTATGCCCTAGCAGCCCCTCCCCCATACGGAGTGGGGTGGGATAGGAACAAGAAATCCGACAGTTCAAATTCGTTCAGCACAAACGGGAGGCAGACAGCGATTGAGAAATCACTCACATTAAACAATCCGTCCCGCGTGATTAGCATGATAATGGCTATTTCACTGTCCACCAAAGCCAATGGACCGTGTTTCAACTCGCCACTGAGGATTCCCTCCGCGTGCAGGTAAGTCAATTCTTTGATTTTCTGAATGGAGAAAAAATAACAAAAAAACGGACACATTGCATTCATACTGTGCGACAAAGACGTGAACAGAAATGATTTATAAAGGCATGGAAAAACTTCCACCTAACGATTACTGAATTGTCCTAACATGAAGTGATTGGCACAGTGCTACAACACACACACCCACACACACATGCGCCTTCCAGACGATGGGCCCGGAGCTCAAATCCCGGACGGGACAGTGGATATGCACTACTGATGAGCTCTAATAAGAGCGAAACTCGAGTCTATCTAGGGGATACGTGTGTATGGTTGACTGGAAGAGCTGAGAAATGTGCGTGAAGGTGAAGTCTGGAGGATGGTCAGTTCAAATCAATCAATCCAAGTAGAAAAAATGTTGCGCAGCGTTTGGTACTTTTCTCCAGGTAGTAGTTCTTATAGTAATCGTGGTGTAAATACTGACACCAAGTTAACACGTTATCTGTACTTACCAAAGCGCCTTCAAGACAGGTAGCGTAATTGCTTCCGCGACCCATGACCAGAATACTTCGTTTGTTGTACAACATTTGGGCCAGTTTGCGGATTTTACTGTCCAGTTCGAGGACTTGTCGAATTTGATCTGCAAGGACAAATAACAATGAGGCTGGGAAACGCGAACGAGCAAGAGGGTATCACAAAAAATGAACCGAATTAATTGATAAGGAAGCATCATTACAGTGATTGTGTATGAGTTAAAGATGGCAGTACCGGGCAGAGGTTGCCCTGGTTTAGGACACACTAGACAGACAGTCTATAGTTCTGTCTCTTTCATTGGAGGGCTGGGTAACCCAACCCTTGTGCATTCCACACGGGTTAATTGGGACAGATGAGATAAAAAATTGGTATTGATAGATCTATTACAAATCTCAAAGGGTGATGGACAGCTGTGCATATGAAACTCCAGTTTCCAAACGGGATAAGTCGTACAAATCACAGTTTAAGGGCATAACACGATCCACCGGGCCTGATATCAACACAGAAGTTTTCTTGCAAGTTTCCGGAATATATCTTGGGTAAGAAAAGACGAGAAACTCACTCCCACAGGCAAAATCACACAGAGATCTACCTGACCGCCCACAATGACAAAAGCACACGAAAGTTATCTGGGCGCTACTAACCTGCGGTCAGCGCAGGAAGAAAAAACACACTGAACGGAATTATTCCAGGTACTCAGAAGAACTAAATTATGTGAAAATCGACAACTACAACTGTGCGTGCCGTATTGTCAAAGACGCTTGTAAAAATTTGTTCTCAGCAGACTATTAGAACTCTGTTCGATTTTGACCTATTTTGCACTACTCTTGATGTTTTCGACATATTTTTCTTAAGAAACGATCTCAACGATCTCATGTTCAGTGGGATTAATATCTGGCAATATGACTACTGGTGAGATGCACAAAACGCCTTGATAACCTAGGCATAATCGGATGTCTTGACATCGCCACCACATCCTGGTTCTTTCATCAATTATTGCTAACTGACATCCAATATTACTCCATACCAAAGATGGATAGTCTAATTGAGCCGTGCCTATCAATGGTAGTCAGTCAGTCGGGAAATTCTCGTACCTTCGGAACCCAGTTACTCTACACTCGTCTTTAAGTGGCTTGTCAATCGGGAAACACACACTCTTGTTTGAACACGGAAAAACGACGGGAGAAAATAGGGGAGGGTAGGAGATATAACTTACAAAAGATCGATAATAAATTAATAAACTTGTAAGACTACAGATAATGTCTACGGTTTCCGATAGTGGAGAATATTTCGAGAGAACGTAATGCTTTGCAAACAGCTCAGTGACCGCAAATGCATAGCTTCCACTGTATCAAATTAACTGGCAACATGTTGCCAAACATAGTATGAGCACTGAACGTTTTGAATGTTTCCCTGTGTGAAGGGAGATCAACTGCCATACATGAATGTGAATGTAGATAAATACAGTATCGGTTTCAGAATGCGGCCAGGTCACATGGAGTTGCCCCCTTGATTTTCCTGTTGGGAATTATGGGCACACACACACAGTTCTGAGCGGTTAGACAGACTTGTGCTTGATTTTGTTCCCGACAGAGTCCCTATTTTGTCTAATCGGATAACGCATTTTCACAGGGGACAGATGATCCAGGGTGAACAGGTAGAAACAAAATCGTTATGTGAATCTAAACCAACAGAATTCGCACAGGGTGAACATGTAATCCCCACACAACCAAATGCAAACTGTCATGATGCAATGTATGATAGAGACGGTGCCTCTGCGAGAGCTTATCTATCATTTGATAAAGGTGAGTGAACAAACGTTAGGATTGTTGAATCCCCGTCGGCATGTCCGAACTGTTTTGTATCTAAGAAAATAGATGGTATAGCAGATCTTGATCAATCTGTCTTTGCAAACCGTTTCATTGAGGCCGTTCAATGTTTCAGTATTCACAATCATGAACCACACACTCCCGTGTGCCGGTTTGGTTGCTGACTTTTGGCCAACCATTTGGACAAAAGAGCAAAATGAATAGTGGAATGTTGAGAGCCGGGGCCAAAGTAAGGATAAGGAGGAGGATACACATAGACTGTGGTTGCAAGCAAAATTCAATAGATGCACAAATGCCACCCACTGTTTGCGACACAAAGACATATCACTCAGTGCTTCTAATCACCGATTACCATAATCTCGCGGTCTCCAGCCAGAGAGCCTGACGGTATAAATATGATCCAGTGCCCCGGGGATAGGGTTTTCATACCTTAATGCAAGATCTTAGATTGATCGCTCATAACCTTTCCCACCCTCTACCTAACTCGGTAAAAATTGCGTGCTGTGGTATCCTATTTGGTGACATACGTAATACATGCCCCAATCAACGTATTCTATGGAGTTCGATCACTTGCTTCAGTGAAACGACCTCGATTGCCTAAAATCTGCGCCTAACCTCGTCCGGTTTCCCCACCAGACTCGTGCAATGCGACGTGGACAGCGGTGTTGGAACACGGAGGATCTAGTTCTCTCCTGTTCCCGCAATGGTCAAGTCTCTGCACCGTAGAGTAGGTTTGGCCTAACTACTGCAGCAAATACTTGACCCTTAACAGAGCCGTATGCCGCAACGGTGCCAAAGATTTCTCAAGTTGCAAATGCCAATCAGCCTCTCATCTGTGACGCGTCCACCAGGTGAGATGCCACTGCCCAAATAGCGAAATATGTCTATTTCCTCTACTACTCCACCAGTCAAGGTGAAGTTGGGAGCTGGACCAACCCAATCTTGTAGCTGAATTTTCGCTGTGAAGGTGCCAAACGTATACCGAACATGGTTACACTAGCACTCAAACTATCCAGAAAAGCTTGCAACTACCTGGATCTTCATTTAACAGTACAATGTCGTCTACATATACTAAATCAGTCGGCCACCTGGAAGTGAATCGATGCCGCTATCCGC